CAGCGCATGTCACAACTTAGAACCAGATTATAGAGTAACAATAATGATAAGACTTTCTGAAGTTTTACAAATTTGATAAAAAACAGCGAACGACCTTTTTCCAAGAAATGCAATGGAATGATCATTTTTATAACTGACCAAACAAATATTTACGCTTAGTTAATAGAAAACGCCTTATTACACTTTTGCCATTTAGTTACTAGCGCAGAATAATGCTGCTTTTTTGTTATTATTTTTTGTTTGTTTGTTTGTTTGTTTGTTTATAAAAAAAAAAGCACACACGCTGATGCTGCTAGAACTACATAACTAAAAAGTATATAGAAGACATTTGTTTATGTTCTTAATTATTAAAAGAAAATTATTCATAAGTCTTCTTTTCGTACCTGAAGCCAAATTTACATCAGCGAAACTTAAAATAAAAAACTTAACTGCAGAACTCAAGTTAACTCGACACTGTAAAATTGGCCGTTAGCACGAATAAGTTTAATTTCTTTTTTTTATTTTACTTTTGTGGCACCTTTGCATTTTAACTAGAAGTATATATATATATACATATGTATGCATATGCTATACATTGTAACATTGATTTATTAAGCTGACTGTTTACATTCTCCTTCGAATACATCTATGTATATATAAACTATAAATTGAACTAAAATAAAGTAAGTAAATTGGACTGAAGATGTGTTTTTCACGTTTACACATATTTTGATCAATTCAATAATCAATGGTACGTATACATATACGAATATGCATGTAGTATGTTTGTTTCCATGTTCTTAATCCTGCGATATCGGCAACTTGTATGTACATATGTATAATTGATAGTTGCGTTTGCGTTGACCGGGTTGGCTCTTTCATTTTATTAGCAATATTTATTTATATATGTATGTCTTAATGATAGTAAGAAGCAATGCTAAAAGATGATGGTGATATGGGCGGTGTTGCTGGAAAATGCAAAACCGCAAGCCGGTCGGCAACAATGACCAATGTGTTGGTTGCAGTGGCGGCGGCGGCGACAAAATAGTCGATGTACGAAAAAGTTTGACTATATCTGATTTTTTACAATCCTTCTTTTAATCTTTTTTATTATGTTAAGAACTAGTGTTAATTTAATTACTTGCAAGTTTCTCCTTTTCATCTACAATTGAGTTATAACCTATGCACGTACATATGTAGTACATGAATAAGATTTCATAATATTAGCCTTAATCGCTGCTGTTTACACTTTTTTCTTTTCACTTTCCTATAACATTAATAATTGTGTATTTTTATGTTATAAACTAATTTTATTCACTATTTTTTACGTTTGCGCACAAATGATTTTCCCCAATTCTATGGGACGACATACATCACTTTGCCGTTGGCTTCGCGCTGCTTGCTTTTCTCATGTTAATGTAGATTTACTTGCTTGGCCTTATGTTGGTTGACGCGATTTCACAACTAACGGATAACATTTTTTTGAAAAAATTTTCATAAATTTTTTTTTTTGTGTCTATTTTACATTTTTTCTTTCTTTTTCTTAATCAACGATTTTAGGTTTTTTTTTTTTTTAATTGTAAAAATTATCATTAAGCAGCATTTTATTATATACTTTATCAAAATGTTAGTTACTGGTTTTTTATCAGTTGTAATCAGTTTCTTTTTTCTCTGTTAGTAGTGAACGTTTTATGTCGATTTATGTTTATTTTTTCGTTTCATTCACCTTCTCTTTCTCCTTTGCCCTGCTACCACCATCATTATTATTCTTCAGCCGCATGCTTGTATGCGCTCTCGCATTGGTTATCGCTAATGTTGATTTGCTGCTGCTGCCTGCGGCTCTTAACTACACAATTGGCACCCCCTGAACATCCATCATTTCGTCCTGGGGCGATGGGCGTGGCGGAAAAGCTTGCAAATGTGGTGGCGTTGCTCTCGGATAGACGCCGCGTTGTGGCGGAAATTGCATACGGTAGGAGCCTTCGTGATGTTGCCGAGGTGTACGACGCGGTGATCGTGCTGGCATGCGATTCGCGCGTTGCATGTCCTCTAGGATGTTATTATAAGATAAGATAAGAAAATTTTAAATTTTAAGAAGAATATGAGCGTACATTTTCTAGTTTTCATGCTGTGTTTTCTTACATAGCCCAGTCACCTATAGAGTGTTTCGAACACCGTCAGAACTCCCTCTATCCGGCATTCGTGGGGCCAATTACAAATAAAAAACGAACAGCACTTCTTAAATAAGGCGAGGTAGTAATCTCAACAATGACAGCAAATGAAGTTTACTTAAACCGGCGCTTAGTCAATCAATACAAACTCTAGCCCATACAATCCATAGTTGCAATACCACACACATATACATACATACATATGTATGTATGTATTATTACATATGTTTTATTAAAGCTTCAATCGACTTTTCGTGCTTTGTTTGTATGTCTAGTTCAATGGTCCAATTGTTTGTTTTATTTTAAGTGTAGTTCAATGCCTTGTGCGCTTCTTTAACGCCATTGTATTGTTTTAGCATTCGTCATTGAGGGCAGTTGCTCAATTTCAACTAAAGTAGTCATAGTAGCGTAACGAACGTTACTAGCACGCATGCACTTAATATAAGTACATACAGTGGTCCACTAAACAATAGGAGTGCGATATTTTGATCAGTTTTGGCTATTTTTATATTTTTGTATTGCTTATTATTTTTTTTTATAAAAGTCTAGCTGGGTTATACAACAAACACCAAATAAATTCAGATTTTATACAAAAATTATAAAAATTCAGCAAATTTTCGCCGAATTTTCAAACTTTTTAATCAGAATCTTAAAAAAAAATCTTCGTATGCAGTTTTGTAGCCCATTTAATTCTAGTCTTATGAAGTGCAAGTTTCAGGCTGCTAAAAAATTCCGTTGAAAATATAAAAGAAAATTGTGGAATATACTTTATATGGAAAAAACGTGAAAAATAAATAAAAAAATAAATAAAAAAAACTGCATACCAAGACTTTGATTAAAAAGATTGAAATTTTGGTGAAAATTTGCTGAATTTGTATAATTTTTTACAAAGTTTGAAATGTGGTGTTTGCTGCATAACCAGCTAGACTTTTATAAAAAAAAAATAATAAACATTAAATAAAAAAACAAATAGCCAAAAGTGGTACCACTCCTATTATTTTGTTGACAACTGTATGTATGTATGAATTTACAGACGCTTCTGCTACGTTATGGCATAGTTGTATGTTGCTCATACATTTTGTTAGGTTGCATAGCCAGATTAGAGACGATCAGTCTGTTTGTAGAAACCTTCAGATGAAGTGAACAAGATCGATGTTGTATTGATATGCAGCTGGTATTTTTTTAGCACAGCTATCCAACAAATCTATAAACATTACGGCATCAATATTTAAGCATGCACATACATATGTACATATTTACAATGTATTTATGTACATACATTACATAGGCATACATACAGTGCACATTTTCATTAAAATTTTATTAAACTCGATGTACAAAATAAATATGGTATGTTCATACTTTGATAAGTAATTAATTATGCACATCAAAATGTTAATGAACATTTGCCATTTAAAAATTGAGTTTTTCTATAAAAAAAGATTAAATTTGTAACTGCTTATAAGCATTGCGCTTTACGCCTTTAACAGCTGTAAACTCATAGTATTATACAGAGCAGAAATAACAGAATAATACTCGTATCAAGTATAGTTGACAAATTTGGTCATTAAAAAACCTGTGTGACTACGTTAAAAAGAAAAGGCATTAAGTATATTTCCGCTGGCTACTTTTTAAAGGTAGATAATTTTTCATAATATTTGCGATTACAATGCAAAGTGGAAATTCGGTTTTTCTGGGTGAGCCCTGGTTTTCGAATACAATAGAATGAAATTTATAGGTTTATTTGTTCATTTTTAATCATTTTCATTTAAAATATAGTTCGATCTAAAATACAGTGTCACAAAGAATTTTTCGCAGTGCATGCAAAGTTTTTTTTTACTGCAAATAATTACACAAACTTATTGAATTTTCCTAAGTTTTGCATAAAGTTTAGCGATTTTATTTTTCGATATTTTGTTGTAGTGTGAACTATATTTTTATAAAAAATTTGCGAAAAGAAATTAGAATAAAAAACTTTGTATATATTGCGAAAAATTCTCTTTGCCAATACTTTTGTCCGGCACTGTATGTATAACATAAATCGAATAAATTAAAATTTCAAAATTGTACAGAATTCAAAAAAATTAACAAAACTTCAAAAAACTTTTATTATAATTTCCAACTTTCAATTTTAGATCAATAAAGTACAAGTTTCAATTTGCTAAGATTATCGTTGATTTTTGAGAATTTTTTTTTTCCGTGAGCGGTGCACATTATCTTCCATATAAAAATAAAATTTTTTTTTCATATCACGCATATTTTTATATGGTAGAAAAGGTAGAAGAATGCTAGCAAAAATTGCTAATCAACAGGAATTCTTTAAAAAAAAAAACACCAAAAATCGACGGTAGCTCCCAGCTACTTTAAACTTGCATTTTATTACACTAAAATCCAATGAAACTGCTTACCGAAACGGGTCTAAACATTAAGGTTAAACAATTGGAAATTTAGATGAAAATTTGTTGTTGTTTGAAATATTGATTAACTCGGTTTTTTATGGTATGGTTTATTATGAAAAACATGGTAAATGTTGTAAAATCACCAGGTGAGAATTATAAGTTTTAAAAATTTCAGTTTGAATTAATTTTTCTATTACATCTACTTAAGCTAATTAAATTTCAAATATGTTAAAAAATAATTTTTCTATTTGAAGAATGTTTGAAAAAATGTATGTTACTTTTTCGTTTTCTTGAACGAAAGACTAAAGTTACCTAGACGACTTTTCCGCCCATACCAGGGTTAAGTCAACGACACGCAACGCTATCTATGTATAAGTAATACATGTTTTGTTTAAAAACTTATAAAATATAAACAATTATGCAAAGAAAGCCAATTGCAATGAGTTGGCCGCCATAGCGCGTTAAACCCCGAGTTCGTTCGAATAACTTGGCAGGATTACATAATTTTTATGCTTTTTATTTAATACACTATTTTTGTTCACCTTTTTACTTTGCGCTCTACAAAAGCGTCGCAAAAATATGTTCGAGTTTGTTGGCACATGTAATTAGATTGCACTTGCGAATTGTTTTCCTTACACTTGCATGTACATATGTAATTAAACAAGTATGTTATTTTATTACATACATACATACAAATGTACAATCACATTATCACGTAATACCAGCGGGAAACACTAGCGACCCCATAAAGTGCAAAATTAAAATTCAAAATAAATTGACCAAAGCAGGCACATCCAAACCAAACGTTGCGTTCAAGTAGAAACGCATGCGCACGCACTCAATTTTTTAATTATTTTTTTTTTTGGGGACAATTTAATAACCAAACAATGCATAAGATTAGTCAAGCTTAGTGTAGTTATTTATTTATAGTAAAACACTAAATCTATGAAGGTTAAACACGTATGCTGGCATGTCTATATTTCACGTTCAACTGTGGAAGAGTTCAGAGCTATAAGTTTAATATGATAAATGAGGTCAAGGCCCTACATTGCACTCTATTTTGGGTTTAGCAAAATCTAGCAATAAAACGTTTCAAGTTCAACAAATAAAACCTATTGAACTAGTCACTTTTGGAGGGCTTGACCGATAAGCCACTATTTTGAATTTCCATTTGATTATTATAAATTGATTAATTTATGTTCATGTATAAATAGTAGGTACATACATATGTATATTAAGGTAATTTTGTAGTTGTTAGTGAGTAAAAACGTACAAAATATTTTGAATATTTTTGGTCTGTGGCTTTATTTATGAAAATATGAAAAGTATTGCGAATACGTCTTTCTTAAGAATTTGGCTTTAATGAAATCGAATCTATTTGATAAGTGACTTAAAGCACAGACAGACGGCAGCGTTTATCCGGATTAACGGCGATGTTGATCTGATTAAAATTGTGCCTTGACCGACGGCAGTAATGCGGATTAACGAGCCGCAAGGTCATGGGTTCCAGTCCAACGGCCAGTAGAATTTTCATTAATTTTTTTTTTATAAATTTTTTATGAGTTCTATATTTTTTTAACTTTGCTTTCAAGTAGTTGATGTTGACCTTTTTAATAAAATTAAACTCTAAAAATTTAAATTAACAAAAAAAAATGTAAAATAGATTGATAAAAAGGAAAACTAATTAAAACAATAAGGTATAATTAAATATATAAAACAAATGAAATAAAAAAAGTAAAAAATTAAATAAATAAAAACAAAAAAAAGGCAATCGCTCCAACCGAGGATCAAACCTGGCGCCTACGCATTTGTAGTACGCACCTCTCCGCACTCGGTAAACGCGGACGCCAAACTCAGCTGGTTTGTTTTCTTACTTGTACAAAAGACAACAGCTAACCGTTTTCACCAGTGTTGTCATCGAAAATTCCCCTGATCCGAGTTAGTTTCCGAAAATTTCGTGCATTTGTTCGGCTGCTTATGCGCCGAATGAATGAGGAAAATGCATGAGTTAATGCAAATAAAGGCTGTTTATGCAAATAAGCGAGCCCGTTTGTCACCCGTATTAGGGGTTTTGGGTTTTGATGCCAATCTAAGTAAAGGCTGATTTCCACGGTCTTTTATTTTAACGATACAATTTGTAGACATATTTTGACACAACTTTCTTTTCGGTAATTCTTGCCGATACCTTTAATACTATTGGCCAAAAATAGTCAATAGCAAATTAAATTGGTATATTGTTTTTTACATCAATTTACAAAGTACATATTTCCATTTAATTAAGCACGAATTTCAACAAATTGGGAAGTAGTGAAAACAAGCCTTACCTTGTGGTTCTTCAAAAGTTTATGGCTAAACATTTTTTCAAATCTGAAATAATGAACTAAAAATATTCACAGATCTTAGTGCATTATGCTTACATTACAGCAAAAGCGAAGGCATTATTTTGTTGTAATTTGTTAGAAAAATTCCTGGTAATAAATACCATTTAAACACCCTCCGGTTTCCGATTAGAGGGCGGCCGGTGTTTGTAAAGCAATTATAGCTTTCAAACAAGCCGTTGCCAGGCTGCCGGGTAACTAGAAACCGGAGCCTGCGAAATTAAAGCTTTTCTGACAAATGGGGAATTTTAATTTTCAATACACTTTTGAAGAATTCCATACCTAGTGGAAATCAAAAATTTCGCAGAACGAAAAGGAAATGAAATTAATACAATATTCTCCTTTAAGCCTAATACATTTATCAGCCGCTTTCTAAGACTTACTTATAATGTCTCCTAGATTAAACATTCAGAAAATGGCCAACCTCAGTTATTTTTATTCTCCCGCAGTATTGAGAAATACAAAAGCTGTAGGCAGAAGTATTGCATCAAACTATGGAAAATGACATAATTAGTTATGGCGGCATTTTCAGTTTAAATGAAACCATTTTCAAATTAAGCGAAACCTTTTTCAAATTAAATGAAACCTCTTTCATGTTAAGCGAAACCTTTTTCAAATTAAATGAAACCTTTTTCAGATTCAGTGAAACTTTATTCAAATTAAATGAGACCTTTTTCAGATTCAATGAAACTTTATTCAAATTAAATGAAACTTCTTTTTTGGATTACTTTGAATTAGCTGTTACGTGTTGCTCTCCCTTACGGTCAAGGCATGTTAAATACAGTGTTGCCGTTTCGGTCCAATTGGACCAAAATTGGTGGTTTCATTTCTTAAAATAAAGCTCTGGTAGGTTGGTTGGTTTGCTGTGATTTTCGAGTGGTTTTGGTAACTAGGCAAATCATATAATTTATTCATTTTATAAAACTTCAAATATCTCTGTTTTCGGGAGTACATGTAAAGGATGATGTGAAAAGGAAAAGAGAAATGGGACATGTCAAAATTATTCTTGAACCGAAGTTGAATGTTGCCGTGATTAGACTGTGCTCTAATCCATAGGGTTTGTTTAAGTTAAAAGAAAATAATTAGACAATTGTTATGCAAATGCCAAAGTTTACATTTCGCTTAAGCGAGTGAGTGAGAAGGGAGAGTATTTGTGTGTGTTTTTACGTAGAAATCAAAAACCAACAGACTTCTACGTATGTAATGCTGTGCGTTGGGTAACAGCTTACACGCGAAGCTCATTTAACAGATTCCTTATGTGACAACTCTCAAGCAATGCCAAATATGCATAACAGAGCCTTTAGTGCTAGCAAGACATGGCGCAAACGGCTATTAATTATTAATAGGTTAAGTTGATTTCCTGTTCCTTAATTTAAAAATGTTTAATACTTAATTTGAATAAAGTTTCATTTAATGTCAAAAAAGTTTCATTTGGTTTGAATAAAGTTTCAGTGAATCTGAAAAAAGTTTCATTTAATTTGAATAAAGTTTCATTGAATCCGAAAAAGGTCTCATTTAATTTGAATAAAGTTTCACTGAATCTGAAAAAGGTTTCATTTAATTTGAAANCCAAATAACATTGGGTCATTTATTTTAGGTTACCTTTTACTTGCCGACCCAGGCTCATAGCGATAAAACCAAATTTCGCCTCAGTAACAAACCGAATATGGCACGAAGGCACGAATAACCGGATATTCGAATATGGGGATAGTCCCAGCCCTACTCTACACATATGGAAAACTCGCGTATACATTAGGGCGGGTCGGTGTCCGGTGCAGTGTTGCCGTTGATAATTTTCAGAAAGTCGCAAAAAACGGGTAATTGACGGAAAAAAAAGGGTCACCATATTATTTTTGCTTTCCTTCGCTAGTAAAAGAATAAATCTGAGATCCAAAGTCAAAATCAAATTTACATGTATTATAAAGTATTTTCTCTGCTATTGAATTGAAAAAGAACATAGCGGTACAAGCTTTGAACAACAGAAATCGAAGTGCTGCAAGGAGAAGAGTTTCATTTCCTTTAAAAGTTTTAAGTGAACCATTTTTTCGTACTTCAGGAGGAAAATGGCCCACTAGTAACAATGGAATAGCCCAGCTGTTAAAAGTTTAGAACAAACATAGCCTAAATTTTACTGCACAGAATCGTGAGGTCTTATGGCGTTTTCTGTTCTCATTGCCCACTTCTTGCTGTTTGAGCGAAGCGGGAAATGAGAAGGTAAAATTTTTCAATAGAAAAGAAAACGCCATTAATTTGTGCCATGCTTGTGGCATTCATTTTTCTATTTGTTTTATTGTCTTACTACATACGTGTGTACATTAGGGTGGGCCTTAAATGTAGGAAGCAAATTTTTACATCAGATTTCCTAGGCCTCAACTACTACGTCGATGCTACTATAGTGGAAGATATCGCATATAAATTTTGGTCCCGACTGGTGAAGGTTAAGGCGTGTCGCACAGAGGTACAAGTTCAGATTACCATATGAAAACGTCTTAAGCGACTGCAATCGAGACCAAAATTTATATGTGACATCTTCAACTTTAGTATTATCGATTTAGGGTATTAAATAAAAAAAAAAATAATTTTAATTTCTTGAGTCTCTGCCCCCTGTGCGACACGCCTTAACCGTCTCCAATCGAAATCAAAATTTATATGTGATATCTGTGATCGTGGTATTATCGATTGAGGGGGTGAGACTGAAAAAAGTCGTTCATTTGATTTTTTTAAGGACCACCCCAATGTACATACGTATGTTTGTATGAAACATTTATTCAGTTGTTTGAAATGGCCTTAATTATAAAATATAAAACCGATCTAAATATGTATCTTTATAAAGTGACATTTTCAAACAAATTGTCGTTTTATAAAACAGTTAAAGTCTTCTTTATTATTTCTGAGTTTGGGTGTTAATTTATTTTATTTACATATATTAGTAAACAAGTTTACACAAGCTCGAATACGAGTATAGGTCAAATAACCTTACCTTATCAAATACATTTTATTCTTGCAAGGTTATCGTTGGAATTATTTACATGCATAGAGATTTGTTGACTTACGACCATATAATATACATACATACATACATATAACATATGTAATTACATATAACATACAGCGAATGAAAATAGATATTTACTCTCCAAAAGCAATCAAAGCAAGCGGCACAAATGGTGAAAAAAGTGCTTGAAATCCACTCATAAATCACAGCTCGCGCCAATCAATCAGATGATCTCAATTGCATTACAGCATATACTTTCAAACAAACACACATATGTATAATACACACAAATGTGTATTTCACTGCAACTATGTAAATGTAGATGTACCGTACATACACTACATACATATGTACATAGGTATATACGCCGATGAAAACAAAAACCAGCACTTTTCCATGTGATATGAAGAACATTGCTCTCTTTAACTCTCTCCACGATCTCCATCACTAGCCAAGTTAAGTTATCACAAAGACAAAACAGCTAAAAGTACGCACAAATTAGCCGTTGAATCGTCAAGTTTTTTTTTTTTTTAAGCCAACTCGACGGCCTGGCTGCAAGCCAAGCCAAACATCTAGCCACTTGGAGCAATAACCAACTACCGTTTTCAGCGAAACAACAGTCTGCAGACGCTACTCAACACAAACGGATTGGTACGGAAAATACCGCAGAAGAAACTCGATATAAAACCACAGCGAGAAAGACTAAACGGCTTAAAGGCGAATAGCCGAAAATTGTGGTGCGTTGCAGTGTTTATATATATGTATTTTTTTTTAAGTTATTTTTTTTTTTTACTTCGCATCGCGAAAAGAAAGCCTTATAGTGTGCGCGTATGTATCGCGTGATTAAAGAAGTAAACAAAACTTAAAACACAGAATGATGTAAATTTCGAATCGAACTTAGCAGGGTTAAGAGAAAACTTAAAAAATTAAAAAAGCAAATCATAAAAATATAGCCAATAAGTAAATAAGTAAACATACAAACAATAATGACACGCATGCGCTTTAATTTGCCCCAAATTGTCTGGAGTGTTGGCCAGCGATATCGGCATGCGCACCGCACATTTATGGCCTGAAATGGAAGCCAGTGTAAAGCCACATATATATGGCAGTTAACTTAAACCGCCCAATGTTCGGCAATTATGTATGTGTGTGTATATATTTTTTAGTAATAGTGATAACACTTAAACGACGACTGCAGACAGAAAGTAAATTGAATGAAAGGGGAAAGTAAGAAAAAACAAGGGGAATACCAAAAACGAAATGCAAAAGATGCAAAGCACGATATAATGTAGCCACAGATTTCCGGCTTTTTTTTCAAACCACGAAAAAAAGCAAAAAGAACTTTTACACGATTATAAATAAAGTGAATACGAGAAAAAAATTATAATAACAACAACAAATTATAATAAGCCACAAAAGAAAAATCCATTAAGTTGTAGGAAGGTTTTGAACACACAAGTGTTGCACATTTCATGTGCAGTGATACTATGTGCAGCTTGCTTGCAAAAACGAACGCTTTCTCAACAAGTTCCGAAATGCTCAAAATTAGGGCAACAAGCAATCGTACCCATATATGTATGTAGATATGTTTGTATTTATGTACTACATTTGAACCCTGCAGTAAAATTTCGAGACAGTGTGGCAAAGCGCTAGTTCCTAACTACATATATCAGAACTATCTCTGAACTAGTGCAAAACGGATGCAGAGAGGGACAGTTGAAACTTGCGGTGTAAATGTACAAATGCTCACTACTCACGTACAATACGAAAGTATGTAACTATGTAGCTCAGCGAGAAGACCTCAGACTCAAGCATCGTTGGTCGCGAGTTCAAATCGCGGTGAAGGCAGTTGTGAGTTTTCAAACTTAATGAATTTAAATTGTTGCGTGCAAGCTTATAAAAATAATAATTATTTTTATTTTAATAAAATATGTAACAAAAAATTAAATCTGTAAAAGAAAAGGAAAAATGAAAAAAATATCCAAAAATCTAATCTTAAAAACGTTTTCCCATAAAAAAAAAACTGACCAAAATCTAACCGGTTAAAAACTAGTTGCAAAGAAATGCACTGGGCGACAATTGCCACCTCCAATGACATCTCCGTGTAAAACTGGACAGTTGAAAGCATTGCTTGGGTATCTGAGTTCTGAGCTAGTCAGATTTTCTGCAGGGGATATACTCAGAAATGCATACATGCATGACATACATACATATGTTCAAAAAAAATTAACTCGAATTGGAGATTTTGCAGCTGCTTTTACAAAATAATCTGTGACTAGTAAAAGATTTTTTGGACCAGCTATAATACTGTAGGCACAAGTTAAGAAAGTAATGCAAATGGGGGCATACCGTCGCTACCATGTCAAACTATCGAAAGTGCAAAAATGCTTCTTATTTTTGATACCTTGCGCATGCGCTTAGAATGATGCGTAAGTTGGCAAAAATCGTTGAATTTCTAGTCTTCTTAGAAGCAGATATGCAGGGCTCGAATCGCCACATACATTATCGTATTTGGATTATGATATTTTTTTTTTATGAGTTTGGGCCTCTGAGTTATAAAAAAAAAGCTTTAGCTGTAATGTGAAACAACTTAAATGGGTCGCTCATCACACTATACGGCAAAATCAACTTTGTTTCTGGGTATTGGACCAGCAAGTAATTTCTCCGTTTTTCGATGTAAGCCTCCGAAATGGAAATAAGGGCCTTCGAAGTTCGAAATTGGACCTTTAGTAAAAAATTATTTTTAATTATAGTGTGTAAAAAAGTAAAAATACGGACGTTATCCGCCTTTTGCTCTTCTTTATGTGGTGTATAATTTTTTTTGTGCAAACTTATATCACGGGTGCTATATGATGAAAGGTCAGGTTCAAAATTTTCTGAAATTTTTATTTAATTTTTGGAAGACCGCACCTGTGACCGCTTTTAGCACCTGTAATATAAGTCTTGACAAAAAAGAAGTTATATACCATTTAAATAAGAACAAAAGGCGGCCGTGTCTGTATTTTTACTTTTTTTGTTTTTTACATACAATAATTAAAAATAATTTTACCATAGGACCAATTTCCAACTTCGAAGGCCCATATCTCGATTTCGGAGAAATCCCTTTTTTACTTAAGACTCAATCTCTCAAAACAAGTTGGTATGGTCCAATACCCAGTCAAGTGCTTTACAGTGTCAAGAAATCAGCGCTCCAAAACCCAATTTACCAATATTCCCATCAATAATAAATAAAGACATCTGTAAGAAGAAAAGTTCTTATTGAGATCGCAAACTCGAAAGACAAAATAAAATTGGATAATTGATAGTGCAGCATTTGCTCTCTATCGCGAATCTGAACGGAAGTGATAAAAGGGCCTTTTTAAGGAGCTAATATAAAAATCGGTGACATTAGCCGCCAGTGTGACTTTTGTGAAGAGTGACTCAAGGCTTAAGCATTAGAGGATTAACCGACAAATATAACGAAAGCAATATCGCGACCGATAACGTATTTTGATTATTGACGGATTTGTGACGTCTTACAAGAGTATTTGACTTAAATTCGTGGGTTATCACGCTCACGTCGAATATAGGTATTTACAAATTTATTTCTACATTGTACATAGTATTTTTCAAGTTGGAAAGCAAAACCAAGCAATGTACCATTTACGAAATCATAACTGTTAAAAGGGGAATTGGATTGTTACAAACTATGTTGCCGTAATTTGGTCACCGGGTAAAAATAAAAAAAAATAGAGAAATACCGAGACCTGTCACATAGTACGTTGCTGAGTAAGAAATCTCTAATAGGCGGCTATCAACGACATTGGCAGCAAACAATACCATTTTCACGACCTGACGCATTGCCGGCATTGATGATCCCGTTAGATAGGCTTCACGAAAGCGATTGGCAGATTAATTGATCTAGGCAGGATGTTGTGATTTTTTAGGCGATAGTATGATACTCATAGTTTGTGAAAAAAATTTAAAAAAATATAAATATTTGGAGTTGTTGTTGCTGTAGCCAATGCCACAGCCGTTTACAGACCTACAGAATACACTAATCATTTGTTTGCATTTTTCAGTCGTATTATACAGCTTCTACATAACCAAAAATTAAAGCTATAACTTATTCCCTTTTCATCTAAAAACGAAAAAAAAAAATAGATGACGTGCTAGCAGCATTACATAACTTATAAGAAGCAGCCTTGGAACTGATGTCTCAGTAACCTTAATTAGTTGTATAAATACAAAAACCTATACAAACAACGTACACAATAGCGAAGTTGGCGCCTCTAACTAGAAAAAAGATGGTTCATTAAAAAAATCAAGAAGCAAGTAAGCAACAAGAAATACAAATACAAGCTTTACCATCACAAATGACGAATGGTATTGGAAGTCAATAGATTGGTCTAAAAAAAAAAAAACACGTAATAAAAAAATTAACAACATTCCGTTGTGTGGTCTCTGTAGTGTTTGTTGTTATTTTGTCGTTAAAAGATAAATAGAAAATACATACGTACGTACGAGTATTACAGAAACACACACACAGCGAACATATCAACAAAAGGGCAGTAGCACTGCAAAATGCCAAATAGCCGGCGGCACCTACAGCAGATACAAAAATGTCATCGAAATTACCAGCACAATCAACCTCGGCAGCAATCACAATTACAACAACAACGGCAGCGGCAGCAGCAGCAGCATTCACTTTCGGCCAAATACCTGAGACGTTACCACGACCGACTTCAATTAGCTACAGCAATCGCAATTATTTTACTCAACATTGCAGCTGAGCACAGCTGTATTACAGCGGTTGCCACACAAATGGCCACTGCAACCGCAGCCACAGCTGATGTTTCGGATGCTGCGCTAATGGATGACATTAGAAGTGTGCATAATAACGAATTTGGTGGTAATCAAAATGATGTTGCTGGCAAAATGGAAGGCGGAAGTTATTCGACCACTGGCACGGACAGCCAGCACAGTGGAACACAACAACATCGCAATGGATTGCATAAAACATTTTCAACATTAGATAAAGAAGTAGGTATGGTTTTGTATCATTTCTATGAAATAAGAACGAACTAAAACTTTTTAAACGTTGTAAAAAAAAAAATACATACAGTCACTCACAGAAGTAATCGTAATTTAGTTTTTTCACAATATTCAAAATGTTTTCCATCATAAATCTTTTCCGTTAATTTTCCTTTAAAATATAGCTCATTCTATAACAAAAACCATATAAATCTTTCTTGCAAACTTTGTACAAAATTCATAAAAATGAATCAAACTTAAAAAATTTTCATCAAAGTTTCAAACTTTTTATTCAGAATTTGTAGAAAAATTTTCGGTATGCAGTTTTGTAGCTATTGCCATTAATTGCATTTGAAACCCCAAAAACAGGGAATATTTTGCATTTACGAGTAACCTTCTTGATAATTGGCACAATGATTTATCAGTGAAGCCAAAATGATTAAACTTGGCTGCATATGTACGCATATGTTTGCATTGAGGTTCAAAAACTTATAATTTTACTTTTGATCTTCTCTTTGCATAAAATTGGGTGAAACTGCTTCTCTGTTATCATTGACAATATGGGTTTTATCGGCCTTTTTTTTTTGCAACAATGCGAACCAGTTATTCGCGTCGATATTTAGCCAATGGGCAAACGCTTTTTTTTTTGCATTTAAGTAGATCAGCACCGCGCGATAGTGTTGTGTGAGCTGTTGACCGTGTGTTAGTTTGCGTGAATTGATAGTTTGTTTACTTTGTCAAAGTCGTGCTTAATATGAATGTACATATATAAATAAGCAACCATATCCCGCACCAAAGTAATAAAATAAAATACTCTCGTGTATAGTATGTACATACATACGTAACATAATACGGGTGGCGTAGAAAGTGAAAATTTTGGGCACTTTTCGAACCAGTAAATGTTTAGCAAATCCATATGGATGGTTGTGCATATTCGACTAAATCGCAGACTTTCATGAATTTTATTTTGATAATAAAAATAACATCGTGACGCATGCGAACTCAACAGGTTTGCCGATGTGCCGAACTACTACTGGCTCCTCGTTAATTGTTGCAAGTCTAGATTTTCGTCTTACTAAATGGCATTCATTTGTTTTGCGCTGCCTTGGAGATTATATGAAAACACTTTTCACGGNTGCATGCGAACTCAACAGGTTTGCCGATGTGCCGAACTACTACTGGCTCCTCGTTAATTGTTGCAAGTCTAGATTTTGTCTTACTAAATGGCGTTCATTTGTTTTGCGCTGCCTTGGAGATTATATGAAAACACTTTTCACGGGCTAAAAAATTATATATCATTTGAAACTTAAATCTATAATGACTATTTTACATAAAATTATTATTTGAAGAGGATTCCTTTGCCAAACATTCTACAACTACATATATAATACGCCAAGAGCACGGAGCCGCTATAGTGTTATTAATAAAAATCACTGTTTCGGCGTTATATTCTATATTCTATACAAATTTTTATTTTTTCGTGAATACAATATGTATCAGTGTATTTGCAGATGTTTGTTTTACAACTACGATGTATAAACAAAATCTCTAACCGAAACTATCAGACATGCAATCGGAATTAGTAATTTCTCTATGCAAAATTGTATCACTTATTGCTAGAAGAAATCATTTGAAACTGACCGTGTAAAAGTGGCGGCCATATAATTAGAGACACCACATCCTTCCAAGTTTTCGTCATTTATTTCATCTTGATTCGTCGTCGAAAACCATGTAACTCAAAGTTTCAAACATTGTACAAGACTTAAGAAAAACTCGCCAAACTCGCCAAAAAATCATCATCAAATTTCAAACATTTTAATCAGAACTTTTAGAAAAAATTCGGGTATACAGTTATGTAGCCATTCATTCCTTATTGTGAAAGTTTCACGTTGGTTATAAAATAGGGCCCAAAATCAAAAATACCTAACAGAGTTGCATGGAAATTTTGACTAAAATTGTATTCAATTAACCAGAAATTCGAATTGCAAATTGTGTATAGTGAATTGAGCTCTATTAGCGCCTTTCACGAGAAAGCTTAACTGCCTATCTGCATTTAATGTAAGCAATTTCATATGGACTTATGCCGAGTTTGGACTATTCAAGTATTACATATCCACAAATGAGGGGCCGGGGGTCTTTGGTTTGCTTATTTTTGATGACAAGGGGCAGGGTGTGGGTCTGTATGATATTTACATTAACAATATTTATTTATTTACTTTTCCAGTTTTTCTGAAAAACTTAGTAGATTATAATTTGAACAAATATCGAATATATGTACGTCAAAATTCCTTATTTCTAAACTGATAACTGCTGGTCCCTCCTTTCAACTAGGCATTGAAATTACTAAATTTAGATAAATAATTGTCATGTGGGAACAGGCGTAAATGCTGTTATTTTTAACGTATTAGCATGGATATTAACTATTGCCAAACTTTCTCTTCTTATTTAGTGCGGATACGGCCTTAGCTGCTTCAAAAAAATAATAATTAATTAATTTATTAAGCAATGCTTACAACAATATTTTTAATAAGCCATTAAATATGTACCTATAACTCTCCAATGGACTTAAAAACTTTCATTTGTAATTACAGTTGATCGTTTAATTAAACAATGGGCACCAATTGTATGGTTGGCACCAGAAGAGAAATTTTTGCCACTCGGAGTTGAAGAGTTTCTCAATCATGTACATCCCATGGATAAGGATAAAACGTTTATACCTGGCATGCCAATTGGCGATGATTCGAAAAAGGCATATTTAGTGACCAATGCAGAGATCGGTAAGAAAAAAATAATAATAATAAAAAATCATGGCCCGGGAGCTTCACCTTTTTCCAAGCCTTCAGTTTAGAACATCCTTGCTAATTTATGGGAATTGAGAGTGGTTTTTTTTAGGAATTTGTACGATCTACACATCACTGCAAGTGAAGGTTTAGTTGTTTTCGAAGTTCGAAAACGCGTTTTTTAAGCCATTAAGAATGCGAAACTTCTATCCAAGGTGATATTTTAAACAGAAGAACACTTCAAGCAAAGCAATATCAACTACGAGTTGACACTGACACGACACGACAGTCCCGGAACGACCCAGATTTATATCCGACCAAGGACTGTCACTCCAAAAAGTCACTTCCCCAAAAAGTCTTTGGGGAATTTGTATGCTGCTACAACAACAACAACGAGTTGACACTGTAAAAGCATCATAATTAAATAAGTAATTTTTACAAAAAAAAAACCGGCTTCAATGCTTATTAAAATTTTTGAGGACTGTTAATTTCTTCATGATCTAATTGACAAAATTCTACCAAATTGAAGCAAATTCGTATGGCACCACCCTTGATAAAAAAATATATATAGAAAACAGTTAACGTGATCCAAAGTTAACATATACATACCTATGTATGTATAAAAAAAACTATTCCGACGAATATAACCTTCTTTAAAGTCGGTTAAAAAAGTAGAAATACAGCAATTTTTTTATCCTACAGGAGAATCAAAAAACATTATTAGAAGGGTATCAAAAAGAGGACGGGCTTTTTAAAAAGCGGCATGTAAATCCGTTGTCTTTGGTACTAACACTTTAAAAACTTATTGAAGGTGTTTTTTTTAATACATCCCACCAAAATCTGTGAAAAACGCAGTTTCGAAAAAAGTGTGAGGTTAGGGCCTTTGTGTGGTTTAGAATAACGGCATGTACATATGTACTTTTCATTGAATACTAAAGAATATTTAATCCAATTAGAAGAACTATTGGAAAATGAAAAATCATTTATCTACGGACGTAACCCGACTGAATCGCCTGTGCCGATTTATGCCGTGGTCACCCTTTGCCACGAGCCGATGCAGAAGACTACATTGAAGCCATCACCTCCACCAACGCCACAACCGTCACAATTGAATACTGCTCAACAAAAAAACCTAATACTTACAAGTCCATCGAATTTCAATCCCAGTGGTAGTGCAACAACTAATTTCCACAACTCTCCGCTACCACTTGGGGCAGCAATACCAATGAGTAGCACACGCGGTCCTTATATACCCGTTTCTATTGATCCATTTGATGTGCATAATGACACAGTGCGTCGTTCATCACGCCTGTATCCAGTATTCAAACGTGTTCGCCGAAATACTCCACCTCACAATTTACCATTGGCTCCACTTCCTGCCTCACCGCCGGCAATTATATTCAATTTACCACCGAAGGGATTAGTGGTGGAGCCTTATGAAGATCTTGTCTTGAGCGAGAGTCGTCCGATTGACGCTGAGAATGAAAATCGTGCCGTCGCAGAAATACCAACCACAGATTCGCCAGCGCAAGCGGACAACAGCGGACAAGTGAATAATTTTATAGCCAATTTGGCAGATAATGTAAAATTTAGTATGCCAACCGAAGAGCTATTGGAGGATAATAACATCGATGTAGACAGCAACTTCGAACGACTTGCTACATCGGGTCCTATTTTTAATGATGCTGGTGGCCAAAGCAGTGAAAAGCGGCGTAGAAAAGTGCCTAGTTTTCATGTGACCTACTGGATGTTTTACCCATATAGTCAGGTTTGGTGAAATAAATTTAGATTTTTATATTAAACTAAAGTGTATTTGTTTTTTTTTTTTTCATACGTTTCAGGGCAAAACAATGTGCACTATCAGCCTGGGACCACTCGGTAGCATACCATTTCCGGCAGTTTATGGTTTCTGTTTGGGACGCCGCAAAGATATTGGCAGTCACATTGGGGACTGGGAACATATGAGTTTATATTTCACAGGTGATGCTGAACCAGAAGCAATGTATGTTTCGGCCCATGATGCGGGCGCATATTACTCATACAATCGCTTAACCGGATCATTTGAGTTTAAGAAACAAGAAACACGCAAGGGTATATTACAAAGGCCGAATTTTCCGAAAACTGTGACCACTTTCAATAACCATCCAGTATTATTCGCGGCAAAAGTAAGGCAACTTAAATAGTATTATTACTTTTTTTTCAAAATTAAGCATCATTCCTATGTTTTAGGGTTCTCACGGTCTTTGGACGGCGCCAGGAAAACATAGATTTGTCAAAGTGGCACGACTGTATGACATAAACGGTTTTGGAACACCATGGAATACATGGAAATCGGTGGATATTACTTATGAAAACCTAAAATCCTATGGTAACTAATGAATTTTATTCAATATGCAGTATACTAAATTTAAATTGAAATATTGTAATACTTTCTAGGACGCGCTCTGGTACCATCGTGGCTATCATTCAAGGGTAAATGGGGCAACCCTAAAAGCAAATGTCATCCATTCCGACGGATCGGTTTGAATTTTTGCGAGTACACCGATGGTCCGACGGGTATACCATTAAAAGAGCCGCATTTCCAGTGTGACGCAGCTTGATTTAATGAATGTTTATTTACATTTAAGCGCTAGACTAGTTAATTTTAATATTTATTGCAAAAATGTATTATCATAAATAAAATATAAGAATTAAGTGTAAAACTTGCAGCCTTAGAGTATTTTATGAATATACAAATTTTTTTATCCCGCTGACTGGCAACCCCTGCCATAAAAAATAAAATGTTTTGGTAACTACATAGGTATAAATAAAATTAATAACAAATTTAACTTTTCGAGTGGGTTCTCAACAAACCAAAAAAAACATTAAAATAAAGTTAAAAACAGGCAATATGCAATATATGCATTGAATTAAATCAATTCCGATGTTTATATGATTATATATTTTAATATTGTAAAGCGCTGGGATGACGGAAGCGCGTTCTCAAATACGTAAGTTTTTATAGATATTGGGTGATATCCTGTACCACTTGAAATTAGGTAATCTCAGGTGTGAGGCATTTCTGGAAAACAACTGATTCTTTATTTACTTGTCGGTATAGTTGTCCACAAAATAATAGGAGTATAGTATTTTGACCAGTTTTGACTATTTGTCTTTTGTTTATTATTTTTTTATAAAAGTCTAGCGGGTTATACAACAAACCATATAAACTAACATTTCCATTAAATAGTAGTATCATGAATTGCAAGTTTCCGAGTTGGTAAGAAATCCCATTGATTTTTGAGAATTTTTTTTTTATTAAAGGTATTTTAAATTTTTGTCCATACAAAGTATATTCCACAATTTTCTTTTATACAGCGTGGCGACGAATAACTGTTCCGCAGTTTTTTCCTAAATAGAAGGGTCATTTAAAGATTTTGCAAAGAAAATATTTTATTGTTAATTTTCCACAAATTTTACTTTAATTCCATTAAATAGTTTTAAAAATTTAATCCTTATTTGCATTTGCCAGCAGTGTAAACTTTGGGGGAAAAGTACATGCGACACGCAAGTCTTTTTCAGGTGTATTTTTTCCGAGACTAAAAACATAGTGGAGCGGCGAGCAAAGAGCATCAAGCAATGCGTCGATTTCAAACGCATATGTTTCAATGGGAGAGTGCATAGTGAAGAGCAAAGCGTACATACACCTTTGTAATTCAAGCTTTGCCCGCCGCTCCACCATGTTTTGACCCATGATTGAGAATAATGGAGATTGCGTCCATCGCGGTACCGCTAATCCGCTCTTTGTGAATTTAACAGGATCAGCTGTGTGCGTGATGTCATCTTGGTGCAATTGTGGATTGAGGAAAACCAAACAACGATTTAACCGGGTACGGTTTAGTTATTTGCCCAGTGATTTCGGGCCAATGTGTCCGAATTGGTGGCCCGATCAAAAGAATTTTACAGACACTTGTAGTCAAGGGTCAACACTTTATTGTAAAAGCTAATTTTGTAATTTATGGGTCACTAATTTATTAAATAAATTCGGTCTGAAAAATTCACTTTTTTCTGAATTTCCGAGTGAGTTATACGAAAAATATACTGTGGATAGCGTACGATGTTATATGCACAAGAAATGTTGAATACCTTCGACTATAGAAAGGTGTTCTGCACAAAAATATTGTTTATCGAGTTTACATTTCCGGTGTCAAAATACTAATTTTTGACCATTTTCCAATTTTTGAGAGATCAGGTGTAGCGTTTTACGAAGTCTGAACTGTGCTCTTTTTAGTGGGTTAGATATCAAGACCCACGCCCCCTCCCCTACGCCCACTAATCCAAAAACAGTGGACAAATAACTAAACATTTCCAATTTAACTTTTTTTGCGTTAATTAATATTTCTGCGTCGTTTTACACAATTATTTTCTCTCACAGTGTTAACCGCTGGTAAACCCAAATAAAGGTTAAAATTTAACAACCAATTAATAAAACTTAAGTAAAATCTGTGAAAAATAGCCAATAAAATACTTTTTTAGCAAAATCGATGGAGGCTCTTTTTATTAAAAAAAAAAAAACTGGGTAACAGTTATTCGTCGCCACCCTGTATGGCGCACGCTGCCAGCAAAAAATTTCCGAAAATCAGCGGAATTTTGAACTTTATTATACTAGAAGTAACTACATACCAAAATATTTTCTTAAGATTCTGATTAAAAATTTGGAAATTTAATTTATGTGGTGTTTATTGTATAACCGGCCAGACTTTTATAAAAAAAATAATAAACATTAAATAAGAAAAAAAACATCGTACTTCTATTATTTCATGGATAACTGTATGCGCAATGGCCGAGGAAGCCTCAAAATCGGCAATGGTACAAATCGATGACAAGGCGGCCTATCTAGAAATGTGTTTCTTAACTCTTTACTCGCGTTTGCCTACTTTTACTTATGCAGAGTACTATTACATTTCAAATTAAGTTGTTTGCAGTGTTCGTATTACACTTACTTGAAATATTAAATTGGCACTCTCACTGAGCGTTGTTTCATCTGGGGAATCAACTGGTATTTGTCTTGTAAACCTTGTGTCGAATTGTGAAACATCATCTTCACTTCGCTGTAAATAATTAAATAAATTTCGTTAGTATTTTACAAAAAAAAAATGTAATTAATTTTTTTTGTAAATTGCATGTTTCACATTTACCTGGTTATTGGGTTATCTGGTTATGTGATTTTTTTTCAAACAATAAAAGACACGGGGCGGCCGCTGTGGTGTAGTGGTAAGCAGTGGCGCGCTTCCACTCCGTATGGCCAGGGTTCAAGCCCTTGTCAAAGCAACATGGCAAACAATTTAGAAAAAAAAATTTTGCTCAACAGCGGTCGCCCCACGGCAGGCAATGGCAAACCTCCGAGTGTATTTCTGCCATGAAAAACAGCTTCTCATAAAAATACAATCGCCGTTCGGAGTCGGCGTAAAACTGTAGGTCCCTCCCTTTGTGTGACAACATCAAGACGCACGCCACAAATCGGAGGAGAAGCTCGGCCAAACACTAACATATGTGTAAGAGCCAATCTAGTATTATTATTAAAAGACACTGGGGAATTTGAATTTTCATCCAAATAACCTAACACCCAGAAAAATGTGAATACCTGTATAGATTAAATTACTTAATATAAGCTATTATACATAGAGATTGCTGTTGTTGTTGCTCATTTACTTCAATAGTGTCAACTCAAAAAATACAAAAATTGAGATAAGTATGCAGAAATTGTCACTACCTCTTCTTCTATTTTGTGTCAAAATTTCAAAGCAGTATCGATTAGCAGTACCCTACAAAAAGTGGGACTAGGTTAAATACGCTTCCTTGTTACCAACACTAGTAACCAAAATGGCCCGAACATATGGTTACATTAACACTGCGATATCATTGGACCTGGCCACCTCTAGTCCAACGTTGCACTACATGAGACCACTTCTGGTCCAACGCTGTTATAACTACGCCTTTTGGACCATGTACAAGATACTAGTATTTCGCTAGAACAAAATGTGTATTTATTTTTAATATGGGAGTATATGTAAATTCAAAACTTGAAAGCCGTCTTTCTCGAGTGTTGCTTTTTTGAGTTGTGATACTAAAGAAGTAAATGGGCGATATGTTCTATACTAAAAACTGCCCAATATTCATAAATTCATTATGTGCTTAGTATTGAGAAATAATCTTTAACGGACGCTGCTAAATTTATAGCCTAGTGTGGATATACCAAATCCTAGCCTTTCGTGTACCCTACAAATCCTACAAGGCAATCTAAAAGCAAATTCTTGAAAACAATAGGAAAAATAATATTTACCAATATGGGTTTGATTGGTGGCTCCAGTCTTCGCGCCAATACATCATCCCAATTAACATGTTTAAAGAATGGGTGTGACTGTACAGCAGCTGCATCTTCTTGGCCTTAAAGAATGGGTGTGACTGTACAGCAGCTGCATCTTCTTGGCCGCTTCCCAGTCTTTGTGGCACTTGACGTTTCATCAGACGACGTACTAAATCTCTAGCTTCGGGTGTGAGGTAGGCAGGTAGTACTAGTTTAGCTTTCAAGATCGTCTCAATTGTTTTCTTACGATTCTCGGCGGTAAACGGTGGCTACAATTACATAAAACCAAGATCAAAACACCGATCCTTGACCTATGCTCATAGGTAGTGGCACAAAAGCTTACCATGCCCGTTAACATGTCAAACATAAGAGCGCCCAATGACCACCAATCAACGGCTTTACCATGTCCATTGCGAGTTAAAATTTCAGGTGCCCTGTTGGGTAAATGTAATTAGATTTTAATATATTTAATGGCATAATATAATTGTATTGGAAGTAGTTATTTTTACTCACATGTACTCAATTGTACCGCAAAATGTGTGTGTGACAATGCCCTCTTGAATGTGCTCTTTGCACAGACCGAAATCAGTTAGTTTAACATGCCCTTGTGCGTCTAATAGAATATTTTCTGGCTTTAAATCACGATATATTATGCCCAATTTGTGTAAATGACCCAAGGCCAATATGATTTCGCTCAAATAAAAACTAAATAAATAAATGAAGTGATTTCATTAATACACACATGAGAACTCCGGTTGCTTATAGCAAAGTTTTTACCATGTTGTATCCTCCAAAAATATGCCCTCACGTTCTAAATGCATAAATAATTCACCGCCACTTAAATATTCCAATATTAAATATAATTTTCCATCCGTTTGAAAAGCATATACAAGTTCTACAATAAATGGATGCTGGAAAGGAAGAAGATTCAATCAATTAAAGTAATATTATGTACGTATGAAATAAAATTATTTCTTTGATTTCCAGAAAATTTATGATTGTACCTTTACTGCCTCCAATATATTGCGTTCGGCTCTTGTATGCGCTGTATCTTTTTGGTTTGTGACTATAGAGGCTTTCTTGAGGACTTTCATGGCAAAATATTTATTTGCATCGCGCCCAGCAGTTTTTCGTACCTACAATTTACGATTTGAGATGTACATAATACATACATACATATGTACATGTGAATATTTCTTTAGCTCACTTTGAACTTACCTGAAATACTTTGCCATAACCGCCCTTTCCAAGTACCTTCTTTAACTCGAAGTCTTTGGGTCCCAATTTTATTTTACCAGGATTCACAGTTTCCTCCGATAACTGTATTGTCTCCTGTCCTTCAACTCTGCAGAAAATAAAATATTTTGTTTGTTATTATGCCATATACGAGACGAGTATGTACATAAAAGGTACAAATAATAAATTGAAAACTATAATAATCAGCTTTTGTGTCATACAACTATTTCAATGGTATAAATTATTAGTTACGACAACATGTTATTAATGCGTTTCGGTTNTATGCCATATACGAGACGAGTATGTACATAAAAGGTACAAATAATAAATTTAAAACTATAATAATCAGCTTTTGTGTCATACAACTATTTCAATGGTATAAATTATTAGTTACGACAACATGTTATTAATGCGTTTCGGTGTGGCATCAAACACTTGTGCACCTGTTAACTATGAAAGTGTTTATCGTTATTTTATTGATAATATGATAGATATGACGGATAAGTGATGTTGTATTAACAATATTATTACGAATATTTATGTTATCAGTAAATACCAAAAATAGCAAAATATTACAATATGTATGTATGTATACTTGAGATTTTGATTTGGTACTGAAATGTTTACGATGTCAGGCATACATATACAAAAAACAAAAAAAAAACAAAAGGACTAAGTCATGCAGCACAAACTGTTTATTTTCGCACGGAGATTTGTATGTCGGCTTACGACCTAATCGAACTTTATGTATCGTGCTGTCGAATTGGATTTAATTATGAATTAATTAATATTTGCATTGTTTTATTAATATTTATGGTAAGTCAAGTTATGTAGGCACCAGAGACGTTAAAAACACTTGTAAAATAATATTTAAATACAAAACACAAATACGCCACAAAAAGAGTATTTGAGATACAAAATACAAATACGTCACTCAGAGAGTATTTGAAATACAAGTATCTACAATTACAAAAAGTATTTACATACCACAGACGTATTTTGAGAATATAAATGCATTGGAAAATACTTGATGGGCGGTTTCGCAAAGACATCGACGATATTCCTTTGTACTGATCAGTACGGAGTTCAGTTGACTAAAAATCATTACTGTACTGCTGCAGTTCACAACTAGAAGATTTACCCTATATAAATTTAACAATTGTTTCTTACGAGATCTAGGCTCACGAGGTTAACAAATGGGACGATATGTATGTTTTCTACATAAGTGAGACCATTTCGATGTGTATTTTTCCGTGGTTTTCGCCGCTTTCTTGTTAATTTTTTTTAAATAAAATTGTAAAACTCAGCTCAGTTATCTGGGACGTTTGAATTTATTATTAACTCCCTTTTTGTTAAATTAGAGGAGTCTTTTCCTATTGCACTTTGCATTAATGATCAAAAAGCACATCTGCATGGAATGCCGGTCGGCAAAAACTAACAAATTTTCCTATATTTGGAAATTCATCGATGTTTAGAATATCAAAAATATATGTTAAGTAAAGCTCCTCCACAATTTCTTCAACTCCATCGAAGGTACAAAATCCGAATATTAAAGATAATTTGGAAATTTTCGTTATCGGAAAACCGTGACAGTTTGATGAAATGGGTAAAATGGTTCCCAAATCTTCATTATCTTTTATTTTTGAAAGTAATTTTCGAACTTTATATACAAAAAAAAATTTATTGTGAAATAAAAAATATAAAAAACGAGTGTACTCTTCGGAAAGGCGAAGGCCATTTCGTGGTAAAAGAGCGTTGCCAACCACGCCTATGTAGTAGGTATGTACATATGTAGATATGTGTAGGTTAAAGTTGTTATACTTACTCTTCTTGAATATTATTTATGCTTAATTCCGGTTCCAAATCGACCTATAAATCAAAGAAAAAATTGTATTTTTAATTTGACTGAATGTATTTTATTCATAAATATCAAGACATGAAAATATAGGCATAGATATACTAAATTGCTATGTCCCAACAGCGAAAATACGATTGCATGACAACGCAACCAACTCAAAATAATGCAAACGCATAACAATATACATAAACTGTTTCCCCAATGTAATCAATTAGTAATGCATCATATAATACATAAATTTTTGAACAAATGCAGAATAGCTCCAACTCTACAAAACAAAGAAAATAAATATGGAGATCGATAGAGGTCATTAAGCTGAGCATAACGATATAATTTTTGTGGAAACAACAACCCACGAATACATTTTTATTTGTTTTCAATTGATAGCAAATTGAATTCCCTTTAATTCGATAATAATATATTATATGTATATGCCTTGTATAGTTTTCACAAAAATCTAATTAATATAAAGAAATATAAAAACATTTTACATTAATTAGCTTTTTTTTTTAGATACAGTATTGGTCATATTTATATTTATTTATATAAAAAATTCAACAAATTTTCACCCAAATTTCAAACTTTGTTTTCAGAAGTGTACAGTACACAGTGGGCCGTATGCATAAAACCTAAGCAAATGCTTTTTCTTAAAATTTCAGAACTTTTACTCGATTTGTTCAAATAAATTTAAGTGAAAGGTATGAAATTTTAAGTAAAAGCAATTGCTTAGTTTTTATGCATACGGTCGAGTTTTATAGACCATTAAATTTTAGTCTAATTATGTGCAAGTTTCAAGTGGCTAAAAATTACCGTTGATTTTTATACCCGAGCGCACTTGTGCACAAGGGTATTATAACTTTGTTCACATAANGTAAATATTAAAGCTAATTTATTCAAAATTGATGGTTGCAACAATTTTTTACCAAGAAATACGCTTATGATACAATTTTGGAAAATGGGCGTGGCGCCGCCCACTTACGATCACATATATGTATCTCGCTAACCGTTCTAGCAATTTGAACCAAACTCGGTATGGTTATTGTGCTTGCCACATGTAAGCAAAACGTTGAAAATTATTGAAATCGGACTAAAATAACGACCGCTTTTCATATAACGGTATATTTCAGAAATGCTTGAAACTGCAATATTTCGAAATTTAAGGACGCTAATTTACTTAAAATAAATACACCCCGGCTTATCGTGTAGCGGTAGCTTTCGGAAAGGTGGAAAACATATATTTAATAATTGCGCCAGGTATTTAATGTTCGGCTCCGCCCGAACTTAGACTTTCTTACTTGTTTAGATTTTTTTTTGTCCCATTTGATTCCAGAAGTATAACGAATAACCACCATTTATTATATGGAAGAAACCCGCAACATTTTCGGCGAAAAGGGAATTAAATTTCCTATCAAAGGAGAACAAAATCTATTCATGGTTTATGTTCACCTCAATTCTGCTTTGATGAAAACTAATGCCCTCATCCACCCTTACCCCTTACCAACAATGTCTCCCAATGTTAAATTTAATGGATATTTGAATAGAAAAATAATGGAACTTAATCTAAGGACATTACTTGTCATAGACGATGCAGGCTGCATTCCATTCGCTGTTGGGGTATTGTGAAATAAATATTAGCTTTAAAATTATGTACATACACTAGTGGCCCGATAACTAGAAACGATTTGCTTTTAAAACGTTTGACCATATAACTTACAAGTTTTAAACTTTGTACTAGATTTATAACAATTTCGACAAAGTTCAAAAAATGCACATCAAAATTTCAAACTTATTAATCGGAATTTCTAGAAAAAAATTTTACAGCCCCTTCAATTTTAGTATATTGTGCAAGTTTGAAATAGCTCAAACATCTCGTAGCTTTTGGCGAATTTCTTTTGTTGGCGTTGTTGCTCATTTTTTCCCATATAAAATAAATTTAACATACATATGTACATACATGGGCATTTCCATGGCAGAGATTCATGAAAGCGGGAAAACCAAAATGCTATTTTTAAGATAGTAATAGGGCTTAGTTGTTATAAATATATTAAACCACATTGAAAATATGTCAAATCACTATACTCATTACCCCTAACATACCTACACTTGTATTAAAGTAGTGCCTCCGAAATTAAGAAACAAAAACCCCACACATGTAGTTAAAACACTTGCTGTAAAGCGAGTGACGATAAATTCTGTGGACATTTGTCAAAACCACTTCTCTCGAGATAAGATAATTTTCCAAGATTTCTATCATATATGTACATGAATTTTTAATGCGCATATGACGCTCACTACAAATTGAAGGAAAAGCTCAGCCAAAAATTTAGCAAAGTGTAAACGCCAAAATATTATATTATTATTATGAATGAAATACAAACTTAAGTAAATGAAAATGCAAACTTATTTCGCAAATCACAAATTATTTGCCTTCATAAAATACCTTAATCACTATAGTATTAAGGACAATTACTTAATTGGCAGTTTTGACGAAAAAGTTAAATACAGATGTAAGTGTTAGGAATGTTAATCCCGGTATCCCGGCTTTTTAGGTCCGGAAAATCCGGCAATAATAGAAACTCCTTTTCTTGACCAGCATTGGCTATATTTCTTTTTTCTTTAATAATCAATATACATAGCAAATTTTACACACAAAAATCAATATATTCGCGAAACCATGGGCCAAATATGATAAAATTGCGTTTTTAATGTTTCACTCTGACGTCAGTAATTTAAAATGATTTAAAAAATTTAGTGAAATGTGCTTACGGCCATATTATTGACTTGTCTTTATTCCTTATTCCCGGCATTAGTAATTCTGGACAATTCTGAGCGACGGCGGAATAATTTTTTTGTCAATTATTCACAACGGAATAACGACGAATAACTTTCCGGCAGAGCAATAAGTATTTATTCCAATCGTTTTTCCATTTTTCGTCAAAAGATTAAAAAAATTTAAATTATCATTTTTTTCGACTTTTTAAATTAATGAGAATCTATCAAAACTCGTCCAATTCAACGACAAGAACTCTGCCTGCGTCGAATCAAATGTATTATTCAAGCCGCGGCTTATCACTTTCGCGAATCCATTGGTAAATTCAATAATTTTTTTTTTTTTTTTATGAAATATGTATGAGCAGGAAATAATGTTACTCATTCTTAAAGGAAGGCGATAACGATTGATTACGCGAATGGGATTAGTCGTAGCGTAGTAAGTATCTCTACAAATATTTAGAGAATTTCTCCCTCTACAACGTGGTATCTTTACCAGTTTGTTTAATGCATTTGATTTGACACGGTATGAGTTGAATTGGACAAAATTTGTTGCGGACTATAGTAACATGTCCCTCATACTGCCACATTTGTCTCATTGCAAATTGCATTTGTTAATTTTCCATATTGTTTACTTTTAGGCCCCACTACTTTTCATTTAGAGAACTCTGGCGATGAAAATTTAGCGTAGCGATTGGTCAGAGTTCATCTGCAGTACATGTTCTATGGAAATCAACATGTTATATAACAAATTTTATACAATTTGTTTTTTTTTTTTGGTTTTATATTCCAAAAGCATTTAGAAAAAGACAAACTAAAAAGTTTCAGTCGGCCCATTTCTCGCAAAGTTATGGGTATTTAAAAATATAAAAATCGGGGAGGCCTCTCTGGATTGGTAGTATAACATAAAAAATTATAAGAAATATCGGAAATGCTATCCTAAATAGGCTGGAATGCCCCATATGAGGGATATTTTCAAGATATAATTTAGGCAATTTAGGTAAATGAAAATATGGAAATGTTTAAAGAAATTTTTAATGTTTGTTTTAGTACTTAAATTCAATTAANTGGAAATGTTTAAAGAAATTTTTAATGTTTGTTTTAGTACTTAAATTCAAAAATTAGGCATTGCATTTAATAAAACGCAAAGTTGCTGCCTTTTCAGGTTCAAGCCTGGAACACTTGCAGGTGGAGGCAATATTAAATTCGTTTCGATTGACGCCTCAACAGTTAAGTGGACTTTCAGCTTTATATTTTCTTTTTTTATTGCGGTACAAGCTCCGCAATTATTAGTGCGAATGCGAATGTTAAAATTAATCCGGAAGCCCCGGAAACAGAGTTTCGATTTCTTACCCGTATGTATTGTTAAAGCAATTATAAATCTTAATAATGAACTTTTAATGAATAACATAGAGTAACTCCCTTATTCACCCGATTCAGGCAGATTAGTTATTCCCCGGAGTAACTATTCTGACTTTCTTATTCCGAAAATGTCGGAATAAGGTGGAATATCAATATTTACGGAATAGAGGAGAATTAGTCGGAATAAGACTAATATTGACGTAGGGAATAAAACGGAATAAGGCATAGTGTCAATAATATGGCTGTTAAAGAAGAAGCATTGGTATCAAATTAGAGGAAATTCTGTAGAATTTAATCAGATTCAATTTTTTGGGGCATAAGGCCTGCTAAGTATTGAAAATGTCCTTTTAAAATTGTATTCTTGAAATTTCTCAATACTTGTTTTTGAAAAAGTTATATGTTAAGGACTTCTATAAACTCGATAACATCCTCGAATTTTGTCCTTCTGACTTTATCAGCTTAAAAAATTCGATATTCGTTCTTGTGAATCCAAATTATTATTTTTTTAATTCTACAGAAATTTCCTCTTTCATTTGGTACCCATATTTTTATTATACATTGCATTGCATTTTCTAAATAATATTTTGAATCAATCATATCCTTGAAATTACATAGTCTTTTAAAATAAATCCTGTCGTGTGAGAAAAAATAAAAACGCCACTTTGTCTTTTTTTATACAAAGCCTAAGAAAAAATACACCTGAAAAAGATTTTCGTGTGGAATGAAATTTTCTCTCAAAGTTTACACTGCTGGCAAATGTAAATAAGGATTAAAATTTAAAAACTAATTAATACAACTTAAGTAAAATCTGTGGAAAATTAACAAAAAATACTTTTTCGCAAAATCCATAAAGGACCCTTTTATTTCTCAAAAAAAAACCGGGTAACAGTTATTCGTCGCCACGTTGTAGATTATCTTCTGGGATAATCGCTTGTAGATTGTACAGATTTAACGCAATTAATGCAAAAACAGGTACAACAGAAGTTTTCTAGTTAGAGAATATAACTCCTACGAATTTATTGCAATGATATGCATAAACATTAACGTTAATTGCTTTTGAGTCGTGGCACTTTTGAGGGAGTATGTGCGATTTACACATAAATAGATACCTGTTATTCTTTGTTTCCAACTAGGCTACTGGAAAAATAACGCATTCTAACTTTTATGCACCGAAAATTTGAGGTAGCACACAAATGCCTTTGTAATTGGAGCACGAGATACGAAGCCTTTTTACCTACAAATTTGCTGAATGTATTCTGAAGGGTTACATTTGTTCGATTGCTTATCTAGCGAGCACTTTAATTCTGTTAGTAGGCGTCTTGTATTTTGAGGCCTTACTTTTTCGTGTAAGCTCTTATCAAGATTTCAATAATAAACCTACAATACGTGAAATGCTTCGTTGGATAGTCAATTAATAACAAATTGCATTATAGCTATGATCTTTTAGCTATTTATATTAGTTTTTACATATGTAGAAGATACATACGTATGTATAGATGTATTTATGTAGGTATATACACATAAAAATATTAAAATATCTACACCTGTTGGTAAAAATTCTAGCCTTCCTACATATTAAAATTTCTACTAGCTAAAAATTTAAATAAATAGCAAGTCGAAATACATATGCGTGTAATTTAAATTATTATATTTGGTATAGGCACGGCACCCTTTAACTTAATTAATTGGAATGCACATATGTAATCCTCATACCTAGATGTATGGGACCTGGCAACTACCCCAAGGAATATAGGACCTTTCTGCATGTGCATAAGTATGTATACGCAATAGGTGCATTATTTTAAAAATACAAACTTTACATGCGTACATACATATTTTAACTTTAAAATTGTGTACTTACATCGTCCAACTCGATCCTGTCATCATCTGAATCGCGTGGGTTTTCCTCCTCATGTAGTTCCAAGTCGAAAACATCAGTGGCGTCAGTTACGTCGGCCATTGTGAATAATCTTGAATAATTTTAACTGCAGCAATGATAATGCTGCTCTAATACTTATATTTGACGACTCCCAAAGCACTAGGGAATATACGAATGTGTGATGATGGCTCAATAAATCACTAAGCCCCTTGGTTTCAGAAACGAGCAAGTAATGAGTCAGGGTTATCAATAAATTGCTGCCGCAGAAACACGTAAAAAACTTGTTCAATAATTCCACAGAATCTACCAAAGGTATCGCACTGAAATCATGTCTATGGTCCTTNGCAACCCTGCTGCGAGGTTGCAAAATGTAGACGCGTAAAAAACATACCTTTGAGTGTGACAAAATGTAGACGGCGTCGTTTTCCAATTTTGTATGGGAAACAACAACACCACAGATTTTACGGTTAGAAAACGTCTTAAAATGTAGACGTCTACATTTTGAGACACTATTTGGAACGAACTGTGAACACCCCAAGTGATTTGTTTTTGCCATTTTGCCAATAGTTGCGTTCCTTATCTACCAGAAATAAACCGAAGTAGTCAGATTTAGTCCAAAAAACATTTCTTAACTTGAAAATGACAGCAGAAATGAGAGAGCAACTGTACCTCTCTTCAGTCCGAAGTAGTCAGATTAAGTCAGAAGATTTATCGCTGGCGAAATCTTGAAGTGTCAAACTCAACTGAATTTAAATTAACGGAAATTAAAGAATACACGAAAAGTCAGAATAATCTAAAAACTAAAAAAAGTGAATTGAAAATGAAAGGAGGCAAAAAATAATTAATGTAGTAAGTTTTTATTGTGCTTGTGTGAATGTGTTTTTTACCTACATTTCTATTCTTATTTGACATTACTTTTGTTGTTGTCATTCTCTTTTAGTGAGTGGATTTTGCTTACACTCTTGCATTTTGACACTTCAGATTTTAGTCAGAAAAGATAAGGAATGGACCTAATGAAGGCAAATGTTCACCACTACAATAGTGGTAAGTTTGCATAGTCGCGAAAAACAACAAAAGATAACTGAATTTTACTACACTCAAAACAAGAGTTAATTGAAAAACATGTTCAAGAGCACAAAAAGCATATTTTCTTTGAGACAATTTCCACTTTTATATACATTCATGTGTACATACAAACTATATGAATATGTATATTGATTCAAGAATTTACTCCATTATTTTATTAATAAAATTGTTTAATATTTTTAATTTTTTAACAGATATGAAGTAGCCGTACAAATCCTAAGGAAATATATATGTAACACAAGAAAATTGCTTAGGTATCTTTATACATATGTATGAATTTGCTTACAAAGACATGTTTCGAACTTTGCCATAAATACGAATTATTTCTTAATTTTGTACAAACTTTGGCACTGTGCTACGCAATGATAGCAAGTTTACATTCATAACACACAACAAAAGTAAATGAAATTCGCTAGACACAAAGAAAAAAGGTTCATAATGATCTTTGAATGTCCATGTGTCTTTGATTTTGTTCGTGTACCTACATACATATGAATGCATATACATATATTCGTATGTACATACCCATGTATGTATATATTTTGTATGCGGTATAAAATTTGTTCACCTTGAAGCATTGATATTCGGCGATGTTTCCTGCTTTATTTCTGTGCTTGGAAATACCCAAAGCTAGAAGAAAGCATTAAACAGAGGCCAAGATAACGGGTGATTTTTTTGAGGTTAGGATTTTCATGCATTAGTATTTGACAGATCACGTGGGATTTCAGACATGGTGTCAAAGAGAAAGATGCTCAGTATGCTTTGACATTTCATCATGAA